TTACAATATTAAAATTTTGTTTGAATTTCTATTTTTTTTTTTCAAAAATTGTTATGTGCATCCATAACTTAAAATTTTTTATAGTAATTTTTTCTCATTTTTTTCCCTTTTCTTTTAAAAATTGTGAGCCCAACCATTATATATTACATCCTTCGTCCCACATTTTCCGTCGAGTTTACTGTATATATGCTAATTTAGATAAAGTACAATAAGTAATTAAAAAATATATTATTATAAGTAATTATTGTATAATAAAATTAATTATATATTAAAATTAAGATAACTAAATAATATAATTAAGATTTAGAAAATATAAATTATAAAATTTAAAATATGATTAAAGTGGATAATTATATTTCTTAAAAAAGAAAAAACAAATAAAGTGAGACAGACAAAAATAGAAATAATTGACGATAAAGATGGGACAGAGGAAGTATATTATAATAATATTCAAATATTATTATTATTATTTAATTTGATATACATAAATACTAATGCAATATTTTAAATAAAATAAATAAATGTAATACTTCGCCCGCCGAGTCATATGTATCTAATTATTTTTTGCACTTGGACTTTTAGTAGGTAATAGTCCAATAGAAAGATAACAATATAATTTTGCCTTTGAACTCATTTACTTTTTAATGAAATTGTTTGTAATATTGTAAAAGTGTAAGTATATTTTTTTTATTAAAGTAGAATACTTTACCAAAAATCGAAACATATACATTTAAATTTGACATACGAAAATGGCAAAATAGTTAAATATAAATATATAAAAATAAAATTATAATACTCGCAATTGTCTTATAAATATAAATAATTTTTAATATAATTAAATTGTTAAAGAACAATCAATGTATAACTTTTCGGATTCACTTATCAATTTTAAATAATAATTTAAAATTAAATTTTATTGCCAACTAAATGTTAAATACTATTTGAAATAAAATAATCTTTTTGTATGAGACAAGTGTGACTGTGTGTGTTTATATAGTTGTATTATGAGTAACTCTAATATGCATATTTTTAAGTAGATTTATAAAAAAAATAAATCATACTAATTATTTTTGTAATATATATTTATTAACATTCATTATATATATCAAATAAAGAATAGGAGTAATATTCTCTCCGTTGGGCAAAATTATGCAATTTTGTTTATTTGAGTAATATAAAAGTGGGATACAGAAAAAAAAATTTAAAATATTACGAAAAATTTATTAAAAAATTAATTAAAAGTGAGTAAATAAAAAATATTGATAAAATAATTATTATGTGTTAAAATAAAAATAATCAAATTATAAATAGATAAAAAAAATATTTATTATAAATGAAATATATATATAAATTTAGTAGAAAAAAAGACTAACGGAACAAAAGAAACTATTATTAATATTCGTGTATAACACGGGTATACAATCTAATTATAAATAGGCAAAATAGCATAATATCTTCATGTGGTTCGGTGAATTTGTTGAAAATTCTTGTGGTCCGAAAATTTCATAAAACTTATTTGTGGTTTCTAAAATATTGTGAAAAATACCTCCACCGTTAATATTTAACGGAAATTGTATTGTATGCGCGATTATTGTTTGTATTATTGAAAATTTACATAATAAACGAAAGAAAGTTACAAAATTACCCTTCATTCTCCAGTAATTTACCTAATTATCCTTCTTCTCCTCCTACACCTAAATTTGGGGATTTCCAGTCTCACTGGATTTTCTTTTCTGATGATAAGTCAGACTTCGCTCATTTCTATTCTAGCCGCTGCCTCAGCCTCTTCTCTTCACCGCCCGCGCCGAGTCCGACCACCACGAGCTTCTTCTTGTTTTTCGCCCAAACCCAAAAATCAACCTCTCAGGCTGCCCATCTAGATCTGGTTCTGCGTTGTTATGGGTCGGATTACGGGTCGGGTCAGGTACGATTTTTTCAAAATTGTGCTGGCAAGATCGCGCCTAAACGGAATTGGAAATATGAGACGAGATATTCTTTGGGTGATTTTCATTACTTCTATTTTGAAAAAAATTATTTGATTTAACATTAAAAATTTATTGTTTTAATTCTATTATATTTTTATCCTCACATATTTCTAATTCTTCATTCTCAAATTCTATTTTTGTGTGTGTTTTGAATTGAGGATTTATAATATATTTTTTGATTTAGATTACACTCATATTTGATGTTATAATGCAATTAGAATAATAGTGTTGTTGCAGAATGCATTTTACACAGGGATAGAAAATTATAGAGAGAAAGAGGAGGGGGAAGGAAGAAGAAGAAAAAGATGCAGAAGGGAGGGAAGAAGAAGATGAGGGAAAGAGGGAAGAGAGAAAAAAAAATGGATGGAGAAGAAGATGGTGTAGGGACGAACAGGAAAAGTAATTTAGACAGAAGTATGACGGTCAATGTGTATAAAAATTTAACACCTTTAGTGCAATTTAAAAGGAGGGGGCGAATGCACAATATTTTAGAAGCCACAAATAGGTTTAATGAAATATTTGGACCACAAGAGGTTTTCAGCAAATTGAGCTAATCAAGATGTAGGTTTAAGAGGAATGATTTTGAATAAAATAACGAGATGATTAAATATTTAAAATATGTCATATATATGATTTAAAATAAAATTATTAAAATATTGTAGTTCAAGAAAATATATTTGAAATGTATATAATATATAATTAAAAAAGTATGTATATTTATATATAATTAATATAAATTACGTATATTAAAAAAAAAAAGAATTTCGCATTAATTTATTATGGAAAATTATATTTTGTCCCATTCCTAAGAAGTTTTGATAGTTTTGATATTAGACTTTTTATGTAAAATAATTGTATTTGTAATTTAAGTAAAATTTAAAAATATTGGATATTAATATATGATTATTTTTACTAAAATAAAATTTAAATATAATTTTAGTAGACACTTTCGTAAAATGAGCATTTTTACTTAGAATGGAAGGAGTATATTGAAATTTGGGTTTCAAAATAGCATGCAATGTGCTTATCCACATGGTTTTTCTGTTGAAATTTGGGTTTCAAAATAACATGCAATGTTCTTACCCACATGATTATTTGATTGGATTTATGAGTGTGTTTGTTCGGGGTTTTGGATTTTGAGTTGGGATTTGAATAGTAAAAATTTTGAATTTGAATAGTTGTATGATGTAATATAAATAGGTGTTGATGTGATGTTTTGAATGTAAAATTGATTTTTAATATAATATAAAAAATAAAAAATAGGTATTTGATTTGATGTTTTTGAGAAAAAAATTTTGGATGAATAGTAGAATTTTGTCTAAATCCTACAAACGAACACACCTACAATAAAATTGGTACATTTGTTGTAGTTTAAATATTTGCATTTTTTATGCATTTGGACTGACGTTAAAAGAAAAGAAAAGTAATTTAATTAGATATTTTGATAAATTTTTATAAAAAAAAAGATTTTGAAAAAAAAAATTGTTTAAATGTAATAAAGTTAAAATACTTTTAAATCTGGAAAATTATTAAAAATAACATATTGTTAATATAATTATATTTTTTTATAAAAATATTTATAATTTACTTTAAATGTACCTTTTACTCACAATTGTGATTTCAAAATTCTGCACTAAAATTTTCTATACTTTAAAAATTTTGCAAGACGTCTCTATACTTTAAAAAACGTTGTATGAAACTTCACCGTTATGAAATCTCAATTGTGTAATGAGAAGATGATTTTCTATCTATATTTTTGTTTGCATGGCGGATGGTTTTATTTTAAGAATAATATATAAATTAAAAATAAAATTTATAATTCAATGTTAAATTATATGTATTTTTATAACTTATTATAAAATTTTATAAATTATACTCCGTCTATCTCATATATATATATATATAATGTCACACTTTTTATTTGTGTTTGTCCCATATTTTATATCACTTTTTTTTTGAAAAATAATTATATATTTCAATCATATTTTAAATTTAATAATTCATAACTTTTTTTAATATTTATTTAATTAATTAATCATTTTAATCTTAATATATAATCATTTGTATTATATAATAATTAATTTTATTAATATATTTTTCATTATTTACTAATCATATCCTTTCTAAATTCTCGTATCTACGGTAACGCTAACACAATATCGAGGAAAGAGGAGTATTAAATAAATTTAAGTTTTTAGTATAATTAAAATTTTATATTTTTAAATTCAGTGTTTAAAATATAATTTTAAAATTTTAATTTATGCATAATATATAAAATATAAAATAATTATTTTTATATTATTATTAGGGATAAAATAATAATTTTAACTTAATTAGTTTTAACGTGCTTCTGGAAAAATACTTTTCAGCTGTAAAAATTATTACTACTTTCAGATATAAATCAATACAAACTAATATAAAGAATTTTTTTTTTTTCAATAATAGAAATTAAAAGCTTCTGACAAAAGTCATTCCAAACGAGCGTCAGACGATGTAAGAATATGGTCTATTGAAAAGTTAAAAAAAACTTATCGGCCGACTTAAAAATGCTTTAATGTTACATACGTTATACACACGTAGTGTATATGTGGATGCAACGTAGCCCATTTCATGCCAATACTTGTATTCACTCTTACCTATAAATATGGGTTTCATGTTTCAGTTAATGCAATTCGAAAGAAAATTTTATCTACTTTTGCATCTACTCTCTCTCACTCTATTTCCGTATACTATTATACATACATATATTTACATATAAGTAATCATTACATATTTATAAATATATTGTACTCACACGTCACACACATATATATATATATACTTACAAACTATATTATATTATTATATATTATATAACACGTTATCAGCACGAGGCTTTTACCTAATTTATTTTTGGTAAGTTTTATTTTTATACTATTACCTATTTTCTAAATTATGAAAAACCTTGTAAAATTTTCTTTTAAACCTCTGTCTCTCACCGGTAATAATTTTCTGACTTGGTCCCTGGATGTAGAAATGCATCTGGTTTCTATGGACCTTGTTCGTACAATTGCCAGTGAAAATACGGCTACAAGCCAAGATCGGGCTAAGGCTATTATCTTCATCCGTCATTATTTGGACATTCCTCTACAGTCTGAATATTTGACGGTGAAAGATCCACTAGATTTGTGGAATGAATTGAGGGAGAGATTTGGGCACTTGAAATATATCACTCTCCCTAAAGCCCGACATGATTGGCTTAACCTGCAGTTGCAGGATTTTAAAACTGTTACAGAATACAACTCTGCTATCCATCAGATTACATCTCAGTTGAAACTCTGCGGAGAAAATGTTACTGAGAATGATAAATTGGAGAAGACTCTCTTTACCTTTCATGTTTCGAATGTTGTGTTGCAACAGCAGTATCGTGAGAAAAATTTTCAAAAGTACTTATAGCTCATTGCATGTCTTTTATTAACTGAGCAAAATAATGAGTTACTGATGAAAAATCATCAGTCCTGGCCCACTGGTTCCAGTCCGTTCCTTGAAGCGAACGTGACATTTTCTGAACGAGGCCGTGGACGTGGTTGCGGTCGTGAGAGTCAACGCGGTCGATATACCCCTTACAATCGCCGTAGTTTTGACATTAACAGGATACAAAGTAAACTCCAACATGGGGATATAGCCGAAAAGGCTAAACAGGGAAAGAGGCAAATCGGCATTTGTAATCGGTGTGGTATTGAAGGCCATTGGACCAATACCTGCAGAACAGCCAAACACCTAGCCGATCTTTATCAAGCCTCACTGCAGAAAAAGAGGAAGGAGGTCGAGACTAATCACATTGATAACGATGACGACCCCGATGATGATATTTTGGATTACGACACAACGCATCTTGATATAGTGGATTTTGTCGTAGATCAAGCAAACCCCCAGTGATAGACATATTATGTTATTTTACATTATGTTTTGTAATATTTAAATTATCGCATATTACCTTTTTGTAATGCATTTTGTAATACTTATATCTGCCTTTATTAATATTGCGTTATTTATATTTAAAGGTTAAATGGATGCCAATTAAAATGATGCAAATATGTGTTTCATTAACAGTGCAACGACGCAGACTATATTGAAACACGAAAAATATTTCTCCCATTTGAAAAGGGAAAGAATGAAGGTCAATACAATAAGTGGCAGTGCAAAATTAATTGAAGGCTCTGGAGAAGCCATTATATTTCTCCCCACGGGGACAAAAATTGTGATACAGTATGCACTGTTGGCCACTAAAGCTCGAAGAAATCTACTAAGTTTTCATGACATTGAAACTATGAGTGATACCAATGGTGAATTTTTATTGATCACCAATATCATTGATAAAAGGAAATGCATCATTGAGAGACTACCAAATTAGGTGCTGTTGAAACACACCTCACGGTAGATCAAAAGACTACCGATTTTCAAATATGGCATGATCGCCTTGGGCATCCTGACAGTATAATGATGAGGTGAATAATTGAGAATTCGCATGGCCATTATATTAAAGGGTCAAAAAGTGTTAAATTCAAATGTGTTGACCTGTGTTGCCTGCACTTAGGGAAAATTGATAACCAGACCATCACCAGCTAAAGTAGGTATTGAATCACCTACATTTTTGGAAAGAATACACGGGGATATATGTGGACCAATAGACCCACCGTGTGGGCCATTTAAATATTTTATGGTGCTTATTGATGCATTTACCAGATGGTCACATGTCTATTTATTATCTATTCGCAATATGGCATTCGCGAGATTGCTTGCCCAAATTATTAAATTACGGGCACAATTCCCCGTCAATCCAATTAAGACTATAAGTCTGGATAATGCTGGTGAATATACATCGAATGCATTTGATGATTATTGCATGTCGATTGGAATTAATGTAGAGCACCCAGTTGCTCATGTTCATACACAAAATGGCCTGGCAGAATCACTTATTAAAAGATTGCAATTGATTTCTAGACCATTACTGATGAGGTCTATGTTGCCCGTTTCAGCTTGGGGGCATGCAATCTTACACGCAGGAACACTCATAAGAATGAGGCCGACAAGCTATCATAGCTATTCCCCAATGCAATTAGTATTTGGTCACGAACCAAATATATCTCATCTACGTATTTTTGGGTGCGCTGTTTATGTTCCTATTCCACCCCCCAAACGTACAAAAATGGGTCCTCAACGTAGATTGGGCATTTATGTCGGATATGAATCGCCGTCAATTATAAAATATCTTGAACCTATGACGGGAGATTTATTCACTACAAGATTTGCAGATTGTCATTTTGACGAATCATATTTTTCGACATTAGGGGGAGACAAAAACGAACCGAAAAGGGATATTAATTGGAAAGTTCCTTTGAATTTTTGTGATCCTCGTACAAAGTAGTGTGAACTAGAAGTTCAACGCATTATATATTTGCAAAATATTGCAAATCAGTTACCGGATGCATTCAATAACTCGAGCAAAGTCACTCGATTATATATCCAAGCTGCTAATGCTCCGGCTAAAATAATTGTCCCTGATAGACAAATTGCAAGTGCTAATGAATCAGCGACACGCTTAAATCATGGTAGACCACTCGGTTCCAAAGATAAACACCCTCGAAAGAAAAGAGGAATTAATGATGATAATCATGCAAATATCAGGAATGACATTGATAAACCTCAATCTAATAAGGAAGTCAACCCTGAAATAATTGCTCAAGAAGAGCACAATCTTGAAGAACATGATGAGATTATTGAAAACATAATTAACTATGTTACTTCAAGAAAATGTTGGAACCGTAAATAGGAAATTATTGATAATGCCTTCGCATACAGTTTAGCACTTGATATAATGGAAGAAAATGAGAATCCAGAGCCAAAATCGGTTTATGAATGTCGGAAAAGAAATGACTGGCCAAAATGGGAGCATGCGATTCAATCAGAGCTTGATTCATTAAACAAAAGAGAGGTCTTCGGACCAATTGTTCAAACACCAGATGGTATAAAACCAGTTGGGTACAAATGGGTGTTTGTACGAAAAAGAAATGAGCATAATGAAATTATGAGATATAAAGGCCGTCTTGTAGCTCAGGGATTCTCACAAAGGCCTGGAGTAGATTTTGATGAAACGTACTCTCCAGTTGTTGATGAAATAACATTTAGATACCGTGTGAGCCTAGTAGTGCGAGAAAAACTCGATATGCGTCTTTTAGACGTAGTCACTGCATATCTTTATACCTCCTTGGATACTGATATTTATATGAAAGTTCCTGAGGGATTCAATATGCCCGAAGCATACAAATTAAACCCAAGGGAATCATATTCCATCAAATTGAAAAAGTCATTGTATAGACTTAAACAATCGGGGCGAATGTGGTATAACCGTCTGAGCGAATGTTTAATAAAAGAAGGTTATACTAATGATCCAATATGCCCATGCGTATTTATAAAGAAAAATGGATCAAATTTTGTCATTATTGCAATATATGTTGATGATCTCAATTTAATGGGAACTCCAAAAAAGATCCAAATTACAGTTGAATATTTAAAGAAAGAATTTGAGATCAAAGATTTTGGAAAGACAAAATATTGTCTGGGATTGCAAGTGGATCATGTGAACAATGGAATATTTATCCATCAATCCACATATACCCAAAAGGTATTAAAACAATTTTACATGGATAAATCTCACTTTTTGAGTACACTAATGGTGGTCAGATCCCTTGATCCCAGTAAAGATCCATTTAGGCCAAGAGAAGAAAATGAAGAAATACTTGGCCCCGAGGTACCATATCTCAGAGCTATTGGCGCATTAATGTACCTCGGAAATTTTACCAGGCCAGATATATCTTTTTCAGTAAATCTACTGGCCAGGTTTAGCGCATCCCCCACAAAGTGCCATTGGAATGGTATCAAACACATTTTTCGTTATTTTCATGGGACTCATGACCTCGGTTTATTTAATTCGAGTGAATCTTGAAATGAATTAATTGGTTATGCTGATGCTGGTTATTTGTCTGATCCACAGAAAGCAAAATCTCAAACTGACTATTTATTTACTTATGGTGGAACCGCAATCTCTTAGAGATCTGCTAAACAGACAATAACAGATATTTCTTCAAACCATGCTGAGGTTTTAGCAATTCACGAAGCCAATCGTGAATGCGTTTGGTTGAGGTCCATGATTCACCATATTCAGAAAAATTGTGGCTTGATTACCGATGATAAATTACCTCCTACAATATTATTTGAAGATAATGCAACTTGTATAGCTCAATTAAAGGGAGGGTATATTAAAGGCGGTCGGACAAAGCACATATCTCCGAAGTTCTTTTTCACTCACGATCTTCAGAAAAGTGGTGAAATTGATGTGCAACAAATTCGATCATTTGAAAATTCTGCAGATTTATTCACGAAGGCGCTACCGATTGCAACATTCAACAAACTGGTGCAAGGAATTGGAATGCGTCGGATGAAAGACATCAAATAAAGTCCAAAACAGGGGGAGCGCATTAATACAAGAATGATGTACTCTTTTTCCTTCACTATGATTTTTTCCCATAGGATTTTTTCATAGTAAGATTTTAACGAGGCACATTCTTTGTATAAAACATCCAAGGGAGAGTGTTACATATGTTATACACACGTAGTGTATATGTGGATGTGACATAGCCCATTTCATGCCAATACTTGTATTCACTCCTACATATAAATATGGATTTCATGTTTCAGTTAATGCAATTAGAAAGAAAATTTTATCTACTTTTGCATCTGTTGATGTAATTTTTCAACAAAAATAAAGTAAAATTCAAAGATATAGAAAATATCCTTAAACTTGATTAATTAGTGCCTGAGATTAGGAATCTCTAAACACTGTATGGTACATAAAATAAACTGGAAAATAAAAGACTGAAATTTAAAGTGGTGATCCCCAAATCTGACTTTGCTTTGTTGAAGTTGATTGAAGATGCCTTGCCAAATGATGATTCAAACCTTTAAATATTCTCTGGGAAACCGTACTGAAAACCGTCACCCGAACGGTTACAACGTCTCCTTCCCAACCGTCTTCCAACCCTTCTCATGCTGACACGTGTCCCCAGCAGACCAAAATTATCCCTATATTTCACTCTTTGAGCCGACCACAGACCTTCCGCTCTTTTGGCCCGACTTCGTCCTTCGCCCGACCTGCTTCTTCGCCCGACCTCACTTGGGCCGACCTCCGCATCAGCCGCCCTCCGTCTTTGATCAAAGACCTCCGCGTCTGTCCGACTTCGCCTTCTATCCGATCTACGGTTTACCCGACCTGAGGCCTCCCGACCTGCGGACTTCCCGTCTTGAAGGCCTCCCGACCTGCAGACTTCCCGTCCTGATGACTTTCCGCCTTGAGGACCTTCCGACCTGAAGACCTTCCGACCTGAGGTCTTTCCGTCTTGAGGACCTACCGACCTGAGGTCCTTCCGTCCTGATGACTTTCCGTCTTGAGGACCTCCCGACCTGAAAACCTTCCGACCTGAGGTCTTTCCGTCTTGAGGACCTACCGACCTGAAGACCTTCCGACCTGAGGTCTTTCCGTCTTGAGGATCTACCGACCTGAAGACCTTCCGACCTGAGGACTTTCCGTCTTGTATTTTCCTTAGAAATAAATCTATTTTCCTTGATTTCCTCACGGTGTCCTTCAGCCAGTTCAATCAACTCTATTGCCAGGCCCATTCTTCTTTTTGCCTTGGGCTTTTAACCTAATTCTAAATTTCGTACGTAACAACTTGCCCGCCGCCAAGGGACTTTCAAACACCATTGAACAATCAATGTTTGGAAGTTCATAAATCACTACCCTCTTGAAAAATTCCCTTAGCAACTGCACCAGTTACTGCAATACTCCTGGTTAACTTCCTTCTCCGCAATACAAGCCTTTG